CAAATGGATTGGATTGGTGGATTGGTGGATTGGATTGGTGGATCCATGGATCAAACGGATTGGATCTAATGGATTGGTGGATTCATGGATTGGATCAAGTGGATTGGTGGATTATCCATGAATCCAAATGACATCCTCAATCAAGGACCAATATGTAAAATGTAAAAAGTTTAGGTACTAAAATGTCATAATGAAAAATTTTAGGTACCAAAACGTAATTTTCCAATGATATTTTTTGTATAAAAATTTAAATTTTAGGTACCAAAATGTAAAAAATAAAAATTATAGGTACTAAATCGTAATTTGCTAATGATCCATGGATCCAATCCATGAATCCACCAATCCAATTGGATTTGGATCAAATAGATTGGATTTAAATGGATTGGATTAGGTGGATATTTTTAATGGATTGATGGATTGGATTGAAATTGCCACCTCTAGTGGGGAGGGAGGCAAAGTAGATGGATACACGACAGGTGGTCATGAAAATGCGTTGGAAAGCAACAGCGACTTCTCAAATCTTTTTTTCTTACTTTAATTACTTCGATATATAGAAGATGAGTCCCGAGTTGGGAAGGCTATTGGCTAACATTTTACTCAAATCTCATATCGACGAGAGTTTTATAATTTATAAGTAAGAAATTGGCTTTAACTAACCATGCACGTTTTGAAATAAATTAGAGCAATTCTCGTGAGAACTCCAAAATTAAACATGTTTGTTGTCGAGCACTGCAAAAATGGATGGTTTTCTGAAAAATCACCTTGATATGCACTCCAAATCGAAATTCGTGAGGGCCTAAACCCAAATCGAACAAAATCATGTCTGAAAAAACTTAAGAATGTTACATATATTGTCTAGATACCTATACAATTTTCATACAAAACCTTATTAAAGTTCTTATTTTTACAAATTTGCCACTACAATAGAGGAAAAGCTAGCATGCTAACACTTTTTGTTTTTTTTTTTAATAAGGGCTAACACTTTTTTTGTTAGCATGGTGCTAACACTAGCTCCAGCCAATATGAATATTTCATTTGGATGACTTTTCCATTTGAATGAGTTGGCCACAATTAATGATGGAAAAGGGAGGAGAGACACGTTGGTCATTAATAATAATTGGGGGAAGGGGAGGGGGACCAGAGCCGTTCTTTTTGCATTAAATGTGACTATGTGAGGAAGAAAGGAGGACCACCGACGTAGACCAAAAACTACACAAAGTATGCCAGAAACTCAAAGCATGCTAGAATCTCCTCAAAGTAGGTCGGAACCTCCACAAAGTAAGCCAGAACCTCCTCAAAATAGGCCAGAACCTCAAAGTGTGCCAGAACCTTCTCAAGAGTAGGCCAAAACCTCAAAGTAGAACATAACTCCCTCATAGTAGGCCAGAACCTCAAAGTAAGCCAGAAGTTTTTTAAAGCATGTCAGAAATTTTTTAGTACTGGACCTGTTTGTAAATTTTAAAAATTTTGTACCAAAATGTAAGAAATAAAATTTTCAAATACTAAAATATAATTTTTCATCAGTTTTTTAAGACTCAAATTAAAAAAAAGTTAGGTATTAAATATTAATATCTATTAAGTTTAGGTACCAAAACTATAATTTATAAATGAAACATAAAAAACAACGTAGATGAAGGGGTAGTAGGAGGAGAGGGGAGGGGAAGAGATAGTTGCTATAATATTCTTATAGTAAGTATTAGCACTCTATCGGTATCCACTCCCCTAGTATAGGATACTTTTTATTATTGTAAAAGAAAGTTTAAATATTTTTCCCAAAACAAAGTGTGGCATGCCTATGCCATGTATTATGTCACTAGTTTAATACTAATTATTACTGGCTAAATTGCAAGTTTGGTCACTTGAATTACAAGTAAATTTCACGTTAGCCATTAGAATTACTTTATTTCATCCGTAGTCACTTAAATTAGGTTAACAATTTAAGTTTGGTCACTAACCGTTACTTTAGTCTACATTAACTTTTGCTAATGTGGCGGTCAACTATTATAGTTGACCGTTAAATGAGTAATGTGGCAATTAAAAAATAATAAAATAATAAAATAAAATAATTTCTTATTTTCCAGCTAATTATTATAAATTAAAAAAAGCAAATCCTAATTTTTTAATTATTATTTTCCACCGTCGTGAATACTTACATCGTCCTCATCGTCTCGGCCGCTAACTTCGCCAGCGTAGGAATTCTACTACCCACCGTCCTCCAAAACTCTGATTCCTCCGCCGCCACCAACCTTCTCTCCGTCTCCAACCCTTCCCATGACATCATCCACGCCCCCGACCCCAACCATCACTCTCTTGACCCAATTCTCAAAGAGTTAGCTGCTTCGCAAACCTTCGTGGCCCTGAGAGCTGCGGAGTCCATCAGGGTCGGCGACCTAAATCTTGTCGCAATTCTTACGCGTCGTCTGCGAAACCAGGGATTATTGTTGTAGGACGTGATTCGTGGCCGGACAAGTTGTTTCGGAAATGGCAATGTTGTTGGGCGTTGGTACCGGCTTAGGCAAGTGTCACTCTGGTCGATGATGAGATGACTCTGATGGACGATCGGTTCGTCCATCACGTAATCGTAACAACTAAACTAAAAGAAACTGAAAATACTAGTTTATTCTTCTTTGATTGATGATTAAAACGTAGAAACCAAGTACATATTTATAGTAGAACCGGAAAGCCTAATCACTTACCAATCCTACAAGGATACAGTAACTTAATTCTAAAGAAACTACCTTAAATACTTTAATAATTAAGACGATTCCTAAACAATAAGTAAAACCAATAATAATAATAATAATATGGTTGCCGAGAATGGTAATGCATCAATCCTCCCCCCTTCGAAGAACTTTGTCCCCGAAGTTCAAGCGACGTCTCAACCCGGATCGATGAGAAAGAAACTTCCACGTAACTTGTGATGGACGATGACGAGGCTTGGACGACGACACCCACGCTTGCGATACTTCCAATTACGCTTTAGAACTCGTACATAGCCCATATCAGCAGCTCCTATGATTCTTGACTTCCCTGAAACCACATCCGATCCAATCATCCCATCAATTGTGCGCCCAATTGCCTCAACGACCATTTCACCTACTTCATGCCCATGCACACGAGAGCCCCACCAATATCCATTAGCAAATTTGTTCATGTTCTGCATGCCATTCTTCAAAAGGAAGATCTCATTCTTAATTTCACTTTCTTCCTTCATCAAACCCCTCGTGATCAAAACTTGCACGGGAGGACTCTCATCCCATTGTAAAGAGTTTCCTCTTGTTTCTTGTCCACGCTAGGTGTGCTGACGGAGACGATCGATGATGGTGGTGTGGTTATGGATGAAGCAACGGAATCGAGTTCGCTCCCGCCCGGATCAAACTGAAACGCAGACACACCTCTCATCCTGCATACATGTTTCCGCTGCTCATAGATTTCCGTAGCTAGCGATCTTATTGGCTTGGAAGTTCGAGGAGACTTCGAGTCGACTACGTCGGCATCCGGGGCAAGATGGAGGGTATGATGCCTATGGATTTCAGTTGGGTCCGCCAAAACTTCACGCTCAGCTAAGTACCCAAAATTTCTTTCAATTTCGGCGGTAGAAAGAGATGGCTCCATGGCGCGGTTCACGGTGATTGTGGTAGTTGGTTGTCCGGCTACGCTATCAATTTCGTCCCCAAACTCCCTACCTTCCTTGGTTGTACAAACCAACTCCGCTCGGACTTCAACGGCGACAACCGCATGCGAAACTCCAACATCAGCTTGTTCTCTCTTCTTCCTAAGCTTCCAGTTCGCCGCCTTAGGGTCTCGCTTGATTCGTAATCTTTTCGGAATCGTGAGATCTCTGGTGGCTTCGAAACTTTGTCGTGTGGTTCTAGGGTTTTGACAGGCTGCGATGGTGGTGCGATGACCATCCGTGGTGGTCTTGGAGTGGACAGCAAGGTCGGCGCTGCTTTTGGGGTGATGGTTGGACCGATCGAGCGAAACCGATCAGCTTTGGTGGTGGCGTGAGGAACGGCTAATGGTGGCAGCGGTACGCTGAAGCTGGGTGCTAGCGGTGACGTGGTGGTGAGGGCAGCGGATGCGGTAGCTCTGTCACAGGTCGTCACGATCCTTCCGCAACAAGACAGGGTGCTTTCGGTCAGTCGGATTAGTCGATTGAGGTCATCCCTAGAGAGCCATTCGGTGCTCATCGCCTCGTGACCTCCTCCCTTTGCCGAGTCCGGCTCCCCTGCTTTGCCCTTCAGCTTCTCTGCCGGGGGTATTTGATCAATCGTCCTTTGATTCATGGCTTCTCCCGATCAGTACCGTCGGGCCCGGACTTTTCCCCTTCGTTCCTTGCAGGCTCCTGGAATCCCCGGCGCATGATGTCCCGGAGTTCCTGCATCTCCCCGCGTATGGACTCGGATACCTGCGCAAGCTTCCTCGCCATGGATTCCGATTTCTGCTCAACCTTCTGCTGAAGCTCCCTTCGTCCCTGGCGACGCTTGATCTGGAGCAGGTTCTGCGACTCCTTGAGCTGGCCAATATCTGTCAGGATCACGCTGCGGTCATCTCTAATGGTACGAAGCTGCTGGTCGTGCTCGGCGAGAGGATCCAGGACCTCCCGGATCTGCTGCCTTGTAGCGTCGTCGGCGGCCTCTATTGAAGAAGAACTCGTGTTGTTCTTCTTTGGCGGCATGGTGCTCGGCTCCTGGGTTCTTTCGAAACCAGGCTCTGATACCAATTGATGGACGATCGGTTTGTCCATCGCGTAATCGTAACAACTAAACTAAAAGAAACTGAAAATACTGGTTTATTCTTCTTTGATTGATGATTAAAAGGTAGAAACCAAGTACATATTTATAGTAGAACCGGAAAACCTAATTACTTACCAATCCTACAAGGATACGGTAACTTAATCCTAAAGAAACTACCTTAAATACTTTAATAATTAAGACGATTCCTAAACAATAAGTAAAACCAATAATAATAATATAAATATGGTTGCCGAGAATGGTAATGCATCAAACTCTGACCCCTGAAGCAGCTACACCTGTTGGGGCAACAACTCATGGCCTAATGAAATTGTTTCTGAGGGATTTCATAGTGAACTCAACTTTCTTCCCAGTAAGTCTAAATTTCCTATCACTAGTGTCTTGAAAGTTCAAATTGTGACCAATGCGCTATGGAGTCTTTCAAGTAGAGAACTTTTGGAGTTCGATGTCCCCGTCCCCGATGGGTCGTGGAGGAGGTAGCTCCGCTTCCAGACGCGGTCTGAAGCAAGGGAGTTGGGTGGTTGGACCTGGAGAGAGGGGCAGAGAGGAATCGGTCGGTGACAAGGTGATGGTTGTGTTCGGGGGTGAGGATGATGTCATGGAAAGGGTTGGAGCCGGAGAGGAGGTGGGTGGCGGCCAAGGAATCAGAGTTTTGGAGGACGGTGGGTAGTAGAATTGCGACGCAGGCGAAGTTAGCGGTGGAGACGATGAGCACGATGGAAGGATTCACGACGGTGAAAAAATCATAATTAAAGAAATTTGGATTTTCTTATTTTAATTTATAATAATTAGCCGGAAAATAAGAAATAATTTTTTTTTAATTGCCACGTCACTCATTTAACGGTCAACTGTAATAGTTGACCGCCACATCAGCAAAAGTTAACATAAACTAACGGCCAGTGACCAAACTTGAACTGTTAACCCAATTTAAGTGACTACGGATGGAATAAAGTAATTCTATTGGCTAACGTGAAATTTACTAATAATTCAAGTGACCAAACTTGCAATTTAGCCAATTATTACCGGTTGTCTTTGTTAATGGCAGATCTCTTTAATGGAAATATGACTGACCAATGCAGTTAAAATTGTGTTTTAAATTTTAAAAATTTATGGTTTTACGTTTTTTGGTTAGCAAAACGTTTTTTGTTTCAATATAAAATATTTAGTGTATAAAATCGAACTAAATTGCGCTTTAAAACTTAAAACATTACGCTTTTACACTTCTAGTTCACCAAAACGCTTTACGCTTTTAGTTCATTAAATAGGTATGCTATTCATGAAATTAATTGTAAAAAGTATATTTTAAAGGTAAATCACCAACAATATATTACATTTTAAATTAAAAGATAGATATCAGGTACTTCGATGCATTCTCAGCTTCAATAGAGTAATCTAATTCACCAGCTAGCCTCTTCCCAAATTCATTATCATAGAAGGGGGAATTTTTTTAGAAATACAACAAAAAAAATTCCAAAAATACCACCCATTACCGAAAATTCCAAAAATACCACTCTTTCCCAAAAACCGCAGGGGGCAGCGGTTTTCGTTCATGCCGCCAAAAAACCATCGGGGGTCGCCGCGGTTTACATTTTGTTTAAAAACCGCAGGGTAGTGGCGGTTAACAAGTAGACCGCCCCCTCCTGCGTTTTGTGTGAAATATTTTTTTTTCTCTCAATGCCAACCTAGGTCGAAACTTCAAACGAACATACCTTTGTATTCGGGTATCCGATCATAGCGAAAAATTTATTCCCCCCATCGCTACCCCCCGCGATCAATCAACCCCTCCCCCCCGACCCGACGCGGTTTTCAGCCAATAGGAACAAAAACCGCGGCCCCTCGGCGTTTTTCGTGTAAACCGCTGGGTGGGGTCGCGGTTTATCGGAAAGAGTGGTATTTTGAATTTTTAGGAAATGGGTGATATGTTTGGAATTTTATTTTATTTTTGTGGTATTTCTGAAAAACATTCATAGAAGGGAGGCTTATTGTTATGATCTATGTTTATGAACTTATTGTTAAGATGTTATGAGTTGCTCTACTCTAGACATGAATTGCAGGTATTTATTAACTTAATGAAATTTTGTGCACTCATATTTTACATAGTATGTCGTACTTAACACATTTTTAGCTATTTTATACTAAGCCTAACAAACTTACGCTTTACACTTTGATTCTACACTTTATAATTTTACCTTTTTCCTCTTTTAGATAAAATCGTGCTTGTCACTGAATTGGAGTGGGACACTCCTCCTCCGTCCTAATTCCTAACCCCATTTCATGACCTCTTTTCATGTGTACTTCCGCGTTCTCAAACTGTTCTTACCTTACCACTGAGTTTATAGAAATTTTTTCTTTTATAGAATTAGGTGACATCAAGATAGCCTTTTAGATTTAGTCTTGGATTCGCGCCTTCTTCAGGTTGGTTTCTCGGATTATGTTCATTCCACTAGTTGTGTTGATCCAGTCCACTGACCGAAATAGATAGGGAGCTTTCAGCATATTAACTGGCTTGTTTAGAGCAGAGACAATGCCAGCCCTTAACCATAACAAGGAAGTAATCCTTTCCTTAGTTAAGGGCAAATCAGGTTTAGCTAATTTTGCTTTTGGAACTAAGTCAAACTCAACTTTTTAATTTGTGTTTAAATTGCACTGGATATTCAAAAGAAAGTAGATATTTGATTTTAATGAATTTTTTACCATTTTGTTATAGGAAACTAACGGAAAGGTGGAAACATCGACATTAAATGCGTAATTGGATCCAAGACTTGGACAATTATTGAATTGTCAATATCGTCGTACCAACAAATTAACCCTAATTGGACCCAATCCAAACTATTAATAATGCATATACCTTCATTTAACTCCAACCCAATACATCTTTGTTGACTACAGCCTACAGCCTACAGGTTCAAGTACACACCAAGTTTAAAAAAAATGCAAGACCCTCTTTCTTAGTTGTAATATGTAACACGACTCTATGCATGTACATCTTTCCGTCACTCCATGTCTTCAATGAGGTCTTACAAATTCATTCTTTCTCCCTATGGATGCAAAATGGGTTTCTATGTAAGCCAGACATTGAAAGACAGAAAGTGGGAGGAAGAACAAGAACGAGAGAGATTCCAGTTCAACCTCTCCAAGATATGAAGAAATACAAAATGACGATAGTAACACCCATTCCAAAGTACTTGATCCATGTATCCACTCGGTTCCGCCTTTCAATCAGCCTCAACACAGAGTTTGACAGCCCAACCGTGTTGAGCACGTCCAAAGCTTTCCGTTGCGCCCTCTGTCAATCACAATTCATAGAGACCGGTAGACATATAAACAACTTTTACGGTAGCATATCGATCATGGTTAACTAGAACAATATCCCAGCACAAGCTACATCTCGAGAATACTTGACAGCAAAAGATAGTATGCCAAGAAATTCTTAAGCTTCTCTCTTTATATAAGGCTAAACAATCTAAGGGGTTGTTTGGACGTGAAAACTGAGTGATTGAATTGCCTTAAACTTTCATTTACTGGGAGAATTCAAGAGATTCATCGGTTAGGATGACCAAAAACAGATCCCAAATTGATGGAACTAGCAAATTCGCCACGCCTCAAATATCTCCACGGAAGATACAACGATTTGTCTATTCCATCAATTTAGTAACTTACGGGACCCATATTTTGCAGTTACTTCTCTAAAGTAGTTCATCCAAACAACATGATTTCCAAAATCTATCATGAGTCAAATTCCACTCATTTTAATAACCTCATATCTAAACAGCCTCCAAGAGAATCTGAACACCTACAGTTTCATGATCCCCTGCTTTCTATGCAACTTAAGAGAAACTTAAACCACGAGAATTGAAGCACCCAGTTCTCCCATTGTTCAACTAACTCTCGGAAAGCTTCTGAGAATTTATCCCTAACTCAAGCAGTCACAATTCAAGCAATAGGTAAGACATGTACTCCAATTTCCTAGTGCAGCAGTAAGAAGACCTATTTTAGCGAAACACAGACTGCTATTACCTTCAAGCGTTCTCTTTGTTCTGAATATTTTGTAAGGATAGCTGATCCTGTGGACAAAGAATCCTCCAGCATCCGTTTAGAGTTTTGGACTGATTGCATTGCCTGTGCTTCCTCATCAAATATTCTCAACACGTGAGAAGACTCCCCATTCTGAAACATGAATTGACTTCGATCAGATGTTTCATTTTCTACCAATACGATCAACAAGAAAACTAACATTGACCCATATTGAGCCTGCTAGAAATTGTATTAAACTGAGTACCGCTCTCCCAAGCAATTCTGCTCTTTCTTGTGCCTCCTTCATCCGTCTTTGTTTCCTCGCAAAGTATCTATCCAGGCTTTCTTTCAATGATTCAGCCTCCTCTGCTACTTGTTCCACCTTTCTGTCACAGATGACAACAATTCAAACAATCAAGGTAAGGAGAGATTCCGACATCTCAACAATAAGTATCTCTTATGAGGGTTCACTGTATCAATAAGCAGGACGCAGTAACCAAACAACAAAAGAGCCAGAAATTAACTTTTCATCGCAATTCTCAAGGATTGGGACGAAAGTAAATCACAGGCTAATAAACTCATTTCAATCATTAGCTAGCTCTAGAACTATGCAAAACTAAAAATAGGAAGCTCGAGCAACCCGGAGAATCTCCAGGAATCCAGACTTACAGTTTAGGGTTTTAATTTCTGCAACAAGGTTGGGAATGAGAACCAATGGTGTAGGTTGGAATTTGAATATCCAATTGCGGAGGAGGATGAAGAAATCAAGGAGATAACTAGGAAATGAGATTGGCGAATACCTTTTCCATAGATCGCGTTGAGGTTTGGAAGCTATTGAGCGCCAGAGACGATCCATCTCGGCGCAAAGGGATTGGATCTGAGAGATATCCTTCTTGACGGCGAAAGAAAGCTCGGGAGAATCCAAACCACCATTAGAGGTAGAGCTCTCGAGCCGCTCTACTCTCTCGATCCCGTCGCGAGCTTTCAGTAGCAGCTTCTTCGCGCTCTGATAAATCGCCGACAATGTCCCTCCACCCCCTCCTTCAATCGTCATCGCCATACACCCACTTGTTCTGCGCTGGACCTCCGGAAATCCCTCCACCGCTTGCAATCGAAGTTAACGGGAACTGGAGACGGTACGGTACGGTACTGTTTCGTATCTACTCAGCAGCTAATCGGAGAAGCAAACGAGGGGAAGCTTTGAACTTCTTTCTTCTGTAGCGATTCTGTTTTTTATTTTTTTATTTATAAGGACGTAGTAGGCGTCCTAATTCATATTAGAAACAACATTATCCATGGAAATACCCATGATATAGTAATAGGGTAGCATTCGGTCGGTTCGGTTTCGACCGAACTGAAATTATAAATACCGGGTCTCCGAATTTTATCAAACCGAATTCGAACCGAATTATAATTCGGTTCGGTCGGTTTAAACCGAACTATAATTCGGTTTGATTCGGTTTTTCACACAAAACCGAATTTGTGAAGCTACTTGTATTTTCTCACTTTTAAATTATTTTTTCACCCCTAATATAAACAATAAATATCAATTATATGCATCATCAATAATAAAACCAAACTTTTCAACACATAAGTCATAAAACATTTCAAATATTTAAGTCTAAAAACAACTACAAACATAAAAATCCACCATTTGGAGCTTGCAATTATAGTATTTCGGTTTTTCGGTCGGAAATCGGTTCGGTTGAAAGAACCCATATCCGAACTATCCATATTTTCCTTCCGAACCGAATAGCATTAATTTGGTTTCGGTTCGGTTTAATTCAGGTTCGGTTCAGTTCGGGTTTACCGAACCGTTTGCCCACCCATATATAGTAAGAGAGCAAACAACATAGGGTCGGGTTGCACTCATTGATCGAATATGCCAAAAGGTAACAAAATGACTCCCTATTAGCCAAAAAGTTGGCTGCACAATTTTTCTCTCTAAAAATATGAGCAACTCTAATAGTCCAGTCACGTTCCAAAAGCATAGCTTAGCCAAAGAGCCATGGATATGGTCATCGTCCTTCAACTTCTTGACGATGGAAATGACAATAGAGGAGTCAAGGTTTAGCTTAACCTTCTGAAACTTCTATTCCAAGCTCTCTCAAGACCTTCAACCATGCCCTTGAGCTCTGCTCTCGTGATTGAGCATTTCCCCAAATTACACGCAAAAGCTTCCACACATCTCCCATTGTGATCTCGTAGCACTCCCCCTGCAGCAACTATGCTTGTTGTCGTGATGACAGAGCCAATTTGAACCTGGATCCAGTCTTTCTCTGGGGGAGACCAAGCGATCTGCAAATTCTCCTTGGTTCTCTGCATAGGGAGAAGGCAAACCTAGACATTCTCGTTGGCTTTAGCATAGATTTGGATCCAGACTTGACTTCTATGGAGAACTCCTTCTGAATACCTTTGCCCTCCATTGCTTCTTCATTCCTCTGTTCCATAGGATCCAACAAATAATGCCAAAAGCGACTCCATTCTCATCATCTTTAAGGTTTTTGTTGAGCCAAGTATTGAAGTCGCTCGAGACTCCTTGTTTTCTAAAATTATCTTTGAACTTCCGCCACACCCCGCTTGACATCTTGCAGTCTCGCAGGATGTGTTCCACTGTCTCTGTCGGGCCATTGCAGTGGGGACAATCTCCATTGCTAGCAAGTTTTCGTCGTTCTCTTTCTTTGTTTGTAAGGAGTCTATTGTGAGCTGCCATCCATAGAAAATGTTTGTCAGGGCTTAGTTGGCTAGCGCCACAGATCTCTCCACATGCCTTCAGTTCTTTTTTTATGTTGCCAGCTGCAAGGTTGTAGGCCGATTTAAGTCTAAATCTGTCGTCTTTTCGATTCCCCAAAGGGTCTTGCCTTTTCCCAGTTCCGATTTAGGTCATTCCCTGCCTACGATGCATACCAGAATGTCGTTGGGGAGGTAGGATTTGAGTCTTTCCCAATCCCAATCACCATCAGCAGACGTCCATTCAATCACACTTGAGTTCAAGTCTTCCACTATCAGATCCTTAATGGAGAAGTCCTTCAGAAGGACCCCATTTTCCAGCCAGGGGTGAGTCCAAAAACCTGGAGCGCCTCCATCTCTCACACTCCACACCATTGCTTCCTTCATCAGAAACATTTCCTTCAAGATAGCTTTCTAGAGGTTCGAACTATAGCTCTTCATCATCATCATGATCATCCCATCATTGTGGTGGAAGTACTTTTCTTGGAGGACTTGCACCCACAATTCATTGTCATTATTAAGCATAAGCCAAGCCAATTTGATCATATATGCAACATTAAAACTTCTGGCAAACCTAAGCCCAAGTCCACCTTGGTCTTTGGGTTTACAATTGTATCTCATGACACAAGATGCACTTTGTTTTTGTAACACCCCATTTTCAGGTTAGAGTTCGATTAAGGTTCGACCGAACGTTTGGATCGACAATTACGTACCAAGAGTTACAACCGCAGATTAGGAATAACAATAATAACTATTATTATTATTATTGCTATTAAAATATATATATATATATAAAACCCTAAACCAATTCTAGCAGCAGCCGCCAGGGAAACAACCGAGACCCCATCCTTTCTTTTCCTTCGTCCGCCCTCCAGCCCGCATCGGCTCTGCCACAATCAGCCACCAGCAGCTGCTGTCGAGTCTGAACCATACTCAAGAAAGTGAGGGAGAGATAGAGGGCACTGCCAACTCAGGAAAGGGATCACGGCTGCATCTTACCAGACAGAGCTCAGGATTGCGAGGTAGGAGTCCTCCCTTTGTCTCCGATTTCTTGCATGCGCGCAGTGCTAATATAATGTAGGATAGTTATTATTCCCTTTGTCTCCATTATATTGTTTAGGAAAAAGGGATCAGTGGAATGCATATATATAGATTGAACGTGGCTACGAGCCTAGGACTTGTGTATGGGATATGAGACACATAATGGAACATGGTGGTGGTGGCAGGATTTCATGCTAGCAATTAGCATTCGTAGGTTAACTTGGATTAGAGGAAAAAAACACTTTTGGTAAAGTGTTCTAATTGTGGGGTTCCCTTTTAGGGAATTACAGAAGCCAATGTATGGGTGCTATTCGAGATAGCAAATATCGATCCAAGCTGGTGGCCAAATCGCATCGACTGACTTGAGGTGAGTGTAAAGGGGGTAAATTCTACGCCTTACGTATTTTTCAAGTATGTGCCTTGCGTGTTTAAGAAGTTGTTTTATGTGAAATTGTGTGCTTGCTTATGATTATGGTTGATGATATGTGCGTTGTTTGACTTATGACTTGAAGTGAATGGTTATTTTTTTTACCTTGAAAATTTTATGAGTATAAGTTATTGTTAAAGTTTAAGAAACAAGGTCTTTTTAAGAAGTAACTCACCTTCAAGAAGGTGAAGTCGTTTTAAGTGTTTTTAGTCACTAGCGCCAGTCCGTTGCCATTTGAGATTTTTCAGATAGAGCAGCAGTTATGCTCTTGAGACTTTTAAGATGAGCAGCAGTTATGCTCTTGAGAATCGTGGTGAAGAGCCACCACGATAAGTTTAAGATGTTAGGGGGATGAATTGTTACGACTTCCCTAACTAAGGTTAAGTTTAAGGAAAACCTGAATGACTTCTCATACGTATGAGTTGGCAACCGGACTAGCTAGTGAGGGATCCCCGTGTCAGTCAAGTATTTAAGTTGAGATTTAAGCTTTAAGAGTGGAGAGTAACAGTTACTCCCATACAGTTTTAAGAGTTAACATTTTTAAGAATGGAAGTACAAACAACTTTCCTCAGTTTGAGTTTAAGTGTTTGAGTAAAAGTGCAAAATTATTAGAAAGTTTAAAACGTAAGGGCGTAGACTGACCCCACCTCACTCACCAGGCCTTAGTAAGGGAATGAGCGAGAACCAGATCGGTAGCAGCTATCTAGAGGAGCAGTTAGAGAGCAGCGAGTTCGAGAGGAAAAGTTCGAGAGCAACCAGCTAGAGGAGGGCAGTGCAAGCGTCACAGAGGATGCCTAGTTAAGATTTTCAGTAGCAACAACATTAGAGATTATTAGTTATTTACATTTATGATTATGAGTATAGACTGGAGATCAAATTGAGATTTTAAAGTTTGAGTTTAATTTGCCCACGTGTTAGGGCTATGCTCTGAGCTATAAGTGTGTGTTTTCAGTATTTTATTTATGAAATTTTGTGTCGCTGCAATTTAAGATTTGAGTATTTTATTTGTCAAGGGCATTTTAGTAAAAGTTGTACCTGGCCGGGTTAGGGTGTTTCATTTTGGTATCAGAGCCAGTCTTCCTCTGTTCCTTGGTTTCCAAGGAATACTGGAATGTCGGTCTCAGTTTTTAAAGGATTTGTTTCAAAGGGAAGGAAAATGAGTCAAGGGTTTTCTTTTAAGAGTCTATAGAATCTCCAGTCTACTCTAATCGTATTAAGGTAAATAACTAATGTTCTAATAGAAGAGGTTCCAATCGTAAGGGAATAACTCTAGGATTTTGAAGGAGTTGAAGGAGTAGTACGAGGATTCTACTACTAGGTAGCAAGGAGAGGATCTAATAAGCAAAAGCAAACAAATGGGAGAACTATGAATCTCCAAAGAAAGAGCTACAGTCACTAGATGTCAGTAGCTATAATGATGGGAGGATTTCAGAGTCTTTGATCCTAAGCAGTGGCGAGGAAGCAACGAGCCAAGAAACGAAGAGGTACCACGAGAAGTCCCTCAACTAGTTTTAGGGGTCAACGCTATTACAACATAGTGACAAGGAGTAGTGAAAAGCTTAGACTTCAAGAGAAGCTAGGGTAGTGTAAATGAAGCAAATGAGGGAATAAGTAGGTTACAGGGAGTATGTAAGGATGTCAAGAAGTCAACAGGTCAAGCAGGAGAGGAGACATGGTCATTCCCATATGACGATAAAGGAACCCTTATAGATAAACTACCTCACTAGAGAAGAGGGTACATGACCCTGGGGGGTTAGGCTGATAGCAAGCCTTTAGAAGAAACAGGACAAGTAACGAGATAAATGATGTAGAGGACAAGTTATGGTCTCAGTACGACCACCATCGTACGAGACGTGGAAGAAAGTGCCACCAAAGTCTAAAGCATGCCTAGTAGAAGACAGTGGGGAGTCAATACATAAGAAAAGACATGGAATGTGATATAGAATAACAATTAGCTAGTAAATGGCAGTACGAATAGAGAACCACTTCCCAGCAATGCGTGAGTTGGATACCAAGATAACACC